CCCCCCCCCCCCGCGCGCCAGCTGGCCAGCATACCAAGCAGGCCTTTCCATTTAGCAGCGTTTATCGGAAGCCTCCCCTGGGGACAGGGTGGCCACCTGCGCTTCCCGTCAGAGGCGCAGCACCTGGGGAGGGTTTCCGGGGGAACCCCCGACCCTCCTGTGGGCACCAGGTTCCCACCTTCATCCCCCTCACCCTCCAACTGGGAGGGGAGCCCAATGACCCCCCTCCTGCCTGCACATCCCTCTACAAGCAGCCAGGGATCCTGGCTCCCTTCTCACCCAGTTGCTCAGATCCAGTTTGGCACTCCTGCCTGCCGCAGGGCGGATCCAGGACGCAATGCCCGCCACTGCCAATGGTCCTGCAGGGCACCAGCACCCACCCACCCCACACACACACAGCGCTGCCCCAAAGAGAGGCTGGTGTGGCTTGGCCGGAGGACCGGTCCAGGGGGGCTGCCAGCGACCAACCCCTCCTCCAGAGCCCCCCGGCGCCCTCCACACTCCCCGGTGCCCCCCTCTCTCTGCTCCCTGGCGCGTGGCCTGCCTCCCGTCTCAGCTCTCCTTTCTCTGCCAACAGCTCTCTTCAACCTGATCCCGGTGGGGCTCCGCGTGGTCGCCATCCAGAGCACGAAGTCGGGGCAGTACGTGGCCATGAACGCCGAAGGCTACCTCTATACCTCCGTGAGTTTCCCCGCCTCCGTTCGCCCCGGGTGCCGGTTGGGGCCAGTGTTCCCGCAAAGCTGAGTGAGTGTGAGCCAGCTCATGGTTTTCTAGCCTCCGGCTCACACGTTTTCGCCTTCGCTCAGGAAGGATGGGGCTCCAGAGCAAACTGATTGATGCAGCGGCCAAATTTTATTTATTTTATTTATTGATTGATTTCGATTTACTATCCCGCCCTAACCCCTGGGGGGTCTCTGGGCGGCTTACAGAAGGTGCTAATCACATTTTTACAGAATCTAACCTAGGGCCACAGACGTATATATAGGGGTGGTGACTACCCTACCAGGCACCCTTTTTCTTGCGGCGGATCTTCGGTCGTTGTCTTGTTCTTGCGGGAGGTCATCAGCGGCATCCTTTCCGGTGCTGGTCTTTGAGGTTCCTTCTTCCGGCTGTAGCGATTCCATTTCCGGGCCAGGACCACTCGCACTTCCGCGCATGCCCCGCTGCGGCCTCTGTCCCGATGAGGCTCCGGCCTGCTGCGTTGCTCTGCCTCCGCGCCAGTTGGTCCGGCCTCCTTCACTCGCTCGCTCCTTGCCTCGCCAGCCACCATTTTTCTCCGCCGCCACCACTCGCCGCTCACCGTTCGCCGCCGCAACACAGGGACGGGTGCCCCCCTGCTCTAGTAGCAGGTACCCATTAGTCTAATCGCCCTTTAACGGGCTTTCAAGCCGCTGGGTGGGCGGGAGCTGGGACATAGGGTCGGGTGCTCACCCCGGCCGCGGTGGGGCTCGAACAGCCAAAGCTGTTCGACCAGATGTACATGCAGGCATCCCTTACCACCTGCGATCACCTGATCACAACTTTAAGGCCAGTCGCTCACCGAGTAGGATTTTTGCTCACAAGACTCCACAACGTAGAGGGAGCCTTGGTTGGGACTCGTTGAGAACTGGGGTGGCTGAGGGAAGGCTGGCCCTCACAAGCGCTGCCCCGGCAGGCCGGGAACGGCTTGGCCGAGGGTGTCTGCCCCAGGTGCCACTGCTGGGGACACAGGAGCCCAGCCGGGACAAACCAGTGGCATCCCGAGGGAGGGACCCACCTCGCCAGGTCCCTGGAAATCGTGTCTCTGCCTTGGAGAGCAGCAAACCTTGGGGTGTTTCCTTTGGGAGCCAGTTTGGGGTCGTGGTTAGGAGCGCGGATGCTAATCTGGGAGAACTGAGTTCGAGTCCCCCCTCCTCCACATGCAGCTGCTGGTGTGACCTTGGGTCAGTCACATGTTCTCTCAGAGCTGTTCTCTCAAGAGCAGTTCTGGAGAGAGCTCTCTCAGCCCCACCTCCCTCACAGGGTGTCTGTTGTGGGGAGGGGAAGGGAGATTGTAGGCCACTCTGAGACTCCTTCAGGTAGGGAAGGGCCATGGGATATAAATCCAATCTCTTCTCTCCCCTCTTCTCTTTTGTGGGTCTCCCTGCCAGCAGGATCTGGCCTCACTGACAGGCAGTGTTCTCTCTAAGCTGAGTTAATGTGAGCTGGCTCACAGTTCTTTAGCCTCCGGTTGACACATTTTTGTCTTGGCTCAGGAAGGAGGACTCCAGAGCAAACTAATGTATGCAGTAGCCGAATCACTCGCTCACCACTTTCATGCCGGTCGCTCACAAGGTAGAATTTCTGCTCCACAGCTTAGAGGGAGCATTGCTGGCAGGGGGAGGGGGATGATAGAGAGAGCCCCTGGGGACACTCAGCCCCCGGACAGCCGCTGGGCAGAGTCAGTGCCGAGGTCTTGCCGCAGTCTTCCCGACAGCCCTGTGGGGGAGGCCGGCGGCCCGCTCCCCGTGCTCCAGAGAGGCTGTCGTCGTCGAAAGGCTGCAGGGCCCCCCTCAGTGGATTGGTGACTGACATCGGAACGGGCCCACCCCAGCCGGGCTCAGTCTCTGCTCCGTTCTCTCCAGCGCCACACACATCCTCCACCTCCCCCTGCCCCAACTTTGAGCTGCAATTAGAAACTGCCCTGGTTAACGAGGCCTCCCCAGGGAGAATTCCCTGACCCCAATCCAGAAGGGAACTCGGCTCTGAGCAGTACCCTCTCCTCCTTTCCTCCTCCTCCGCCGCCTTCTCTCCGTAAATCCTTCCAGGGAGGCCCTTCCGGTCTCCGCAAGCAGCCTTTTGCGACCTGCCCTGTGCCGGGTGCGGGAAGGACTGGAGAAGGTTCCAGCGAGCTCCGGAGGGGAGGGGAGGGGAGAGGTGTGGGTCCCCTGGGGTGCCCTCCACGCTCGGATTGAGGCATCCAAACTCTCTCCGTGTGAAAATTGATTTATTCCGTACGTGTCTCCTCTTGTCCTTCCTCCAATGCCCTCGGGATTCCTTCCCCTCCGTTCTACGGGAGGCCCAGCAGAGGGAGAGGAAGGCACCAGGCAGAGAGACGGAAGGAGCGAGCGAGTGGCCCAGCGTCACCTTGCGGGCGGAGATTCAAACCCGGACCGTTGCCCACCTCCCTCGGTCCCACTCTGGCCCTCCGGTCCTGGACAATCCACGGCAGTCTTGTTCCCAGTAGAAGGCCTCTGCGCCAAGAAGAGCACCGCCATGTTTTCTCTTGGGCCTCCGTGTCTTCTCTTTGGTCCCAGAAGCCCGACCCCCTCCGTGCCCTGGGCAGAGTGGCAGGAGAGGGCGGCTGGGTGACGGCCTGCCCTTGGCCCCTTGGGTGGCACGCGGCGGGGTGGGGGTGGGGGTGGGGGGAGACAGTGCAGAGGGAGCTGGAGAAACCCTTTGTCCTCTGCACAGAGAGGTGACCCCGGTCCGGCAGGAGGGCTGCGGAATGGTTGGCGGCAGAGGAGTTTCCCCCCCAGGAAGATGATGGCTGTCAGGGACAGCCAGGGTGGCCGAAGATGAGGCGCAGCACATTTGCTTGTGTGTGTGTGTGTGTGTGTGTGTGTGAGAGAGAGAGGGGGGGGGGAGGAGGGAGGGATCCACAGATGAGACAGCAGATAGGGGAAAGGGGGGGGGGATGAACAGAGGACAGGAAAGTAGATGCAGGAGGACCAGCTGATGCTTGTCGGGGCTCAGCCCCAGAACCTGCCGTAAGAACCTCAGAAGAGCCCTGCGATAGGGTAAAGTGGGGGAGGATGAACAGAGGACAGGAAAGTAGGTGCAGGAGGACCAGCTGATGCTTCTTGGGGCTCAGCCCCAGAACCTGCCTTAAGAACCTCAGAAGAGCCCTGCTGGGTCAGGCCAGGGAGGGTCCATCCAGTCCAGCCTCCCGTCTCACACAGGGGCCAGCCAGTCCCTCTGGAGGGCCAGCAACAGGGCAGAGAGGCCGAGGCCTTCCCCTGAGAAGGACACCAGAAGCGCCCTGCGCTGGGCCAGACCAGGGAGGGTCCCTCCAGTCCAGCCTCCCGCCTCAC